TTACGAATCACGAGGTTGAAGCCGTCGCCGTTGCGTGTTCGCCAAAAACCCACCAAACTTACCAACACAAAAGTACACTTTCTGTCAAAAACGAAATTTTACTTTATAACAAATTGTCAGAGCACAAATTTGCTACCGGGCCCCAGTCATCAGCCAAATCTGCAAAACTAACATTACCAAACTCCAAATATTTCAGAATAAACTCCTCCGTCGAATTACCCAAGCTCCGTGGTATATTCGAAAGTCTCAAATCTACGCAAACCTCGACATGGAAACCATTAGCAAATTAATTTCAAAACTCCACAACAACCTTAAAACCAGAGTTCCCAACCACACTAACCACCTAATCCAAGACACTTTTTCCCAAACAATCCCAAAAATTTACTTCATAACTCCCACTACTTTAATGACAGACGCCCCCTGAAAACACCCGAATTAAACGAAAAAATCCGGCTTTTCAAAATTTTCAAAATTCAACCACTTCAGAACATAATTCTTCCAAATTACTCAAAAACACAACTATTCTCTTTTTTTACCAACTACTCTCAACGCATCCACCGACCCGAAAATTATATCAAAATTACCAAAAAATGTTGTTTAATCCACTTTTAATTTGTGCGGTTATTTGTTTCATAATCTGGTCTTTTAATTTTAAGTCTTAAAAAAGATAAGTAATTTTTTAAACTAACCAAACACATTACGTCAATTTTGGACTTTTTGGTGATTTTAGCTTGAAACCCACGATATTGTAAATGTTATTTTACTAAAATAGGAAAAAAATATATTTATTTCATACTATTAATTATTACTGCCTTGCATCGCATGTTGAAGTTTTCACTTCTATCGTTTTTTTTACTATCTAAATGTTTTTATACTGTATTTCTATTGCATTTATTCTGACTAAATGAATTCTAAAAAAAAAATTTTCAAATTTCAGTATCTAAAAGTAAAATTTGCCACCAATTTGTAACGGATATAGTCTGACTATAGTAGAGGATGTATTTTTCTGAAAATAGTCCGAAACGCTAACTTCTGATGCTGTCAGAAACTAAGTTACGTTGTTAAAAGTAATGTAATCAAATTCCATAAAACTTAATCCAAAACTGCTAAATCAATATTTTGGAAAAATGACGCTGTTCTGATTGTTGTTTCAAATAAGAAACGATATATTAAATATTCTATGATGATGATGACTGCTCGTCACAGCAGCTGTTCAAAATATGTTTTCAAATTAAATTTTGTTTTATTCACACGATTCAAAATGTTTAAATTAACATCTGGATTTCTTTCAGAATTTGTAATTAAGGCCGTGTACGTAATATTTTACGAGACAATGTAGCACGCATTGTAGAGATACATGCCTAAATACAACAAATTTTCAATTTCGCCACAACTAGATCTCCACTAAATAAAAACGTCGTTTTCTTAAATGCAAAATTTTACTGTTTATTGCGCTTTGTTTTCAGATAAAGTCATATAAAGTGTAAAAATGCGCCAAAGGATATGGAGCACCGATAACAAGAGTTAAAACCAAAATTGTTGTCGTGTGCTTCATTTTTAGTTACCACCAAAAATTTATAGAAAATAAATATAAGATCGTTTGTTTATTGGAGTATGTTAGAAACTCGTTATCCAATCCATGTAAGTAAACAAAATTTTCAATTTAAATCTAAAGATTTTACGTAAACTCATAATGTAAAAATACGTTGAAATTCCTTTGGTTGGTTTATTAATTCTAAAAGTATTCAAAAATATTTCAAAAAATAATGAGTAAGGTACGGCCCGGCCCGTACATCATCTTCTCTGAGATTCTTCAGGTTTTTACAAAATTTTCTCGTCCCAACCTGAGCAATTAAATCAATCAGTTTCTAAGTAATATGTTTATTTAAAAAACAAAGCTAGTTAACAGCTGTAGCCAGATGGCGTGAAATTGCAACTGCTATCCTTCTTGGCATTGGTGATGGAAACACCAGACCATTTCCACTCAGAGCACCCATCGGTTCCACAAAGAATGTATACTGCCATGCTGCTGGAGCCGCCACTCATGGTTCCAGTGACTTCTTCCAGCTCCAGGTTGCTAATTGGAATGTTACCTAAAGGACTTCCGGTGGCAGAACCATCTTCATAATCTTCTTGAATATTGATGCCATATTTGGTGATTTCTAAAAATTGTAGTAGATATGTAGTGAAACATCTTAGTTAGCGGTTTAGAAGGCAAGCAAACCTACTTGAAAGTTTAATATAATATATATAAGTAATATCCGAAATGGAACCAGTTCCGGCATCAGAGTGAGTTTTAATATGGATGCCATTAGCAGAGTTAGTTACAGAACAATCAGAGAACGTGACGTTCTTTACAGTGTTTACTGAACCATCAGAAGTGCTTTGACCGACGGATAAACTCAATCCGTGTCCTCCACTGCAAGTCAAATTCTTGAAAACCATGTCAGATCCTTGGTTTACAGCCACGCAGTCATCTTGATTTTTGACGACACTGGTCTTAACGGTTATTCCCGTGGATCCAGACACGTCGAATCTCCATCAGTGTTGTGACCACCATTCTATTAAACAAGCATTTTCAGACCTGACACTCTAAGTTAAAAGAAAAAGCTCACGTCATCTCCATCAGAAACATCAACAACAAAATTGTCAAGAGTGGTGTCGCTGGCACTGCTGATGGAAATGCACTGATGGGGGCAGTTCAATAAATTAATGTCTGATAAATAAGATCCTCCAGTAGTTTCGATTGTAAGGAACTTAGGTTTGGTAATTCCACTGTCTCCTTCACCATCCCAATAGTCAGCACCTTGAATTTATCGTACTCATTAAGTCTGTTTCAATGGTGAAAGAAAGATAGTTGATGCTCAAGACGAATGTTTTTATATTTCCTTCTTTGCGTTCGTTGATTAATCAATATGAACTTTTTTACTTAACTACGAGAACAGCTGAATTTTATAGGCGTTCTGAAGATGCGTATATAATTTAGACGGCTGATCTTTTTCTATCAAGGCCAGGTATAACTTGCTCACAAAATAAAGGATAATTTTTCATCCACATAAAAGCGTTTCAAAAATAATTACCTCAAGTGTGACATGATGTATGCAAGGTTCTGAGTCTCCTGTTTATTATTTACTTTATAAATAAAATAAATACCACGTTTTGCGCGGTCTGAACAGCTTTACTTATGATGATTTCAGACGTAATCCATCAGTTTTTTAATTTTGAGATAATTAAGATTTTAATTTTGGAAAGTCATTTAATTGAAAATCTTTCGAAAACTTCAAACTATTACTCAACTGAACAACAAAACTGAAATCGAGTACTTCTTACAAATAAAAAAAAACAATGAATTGATTGCCTGAGCAAATACTGAAAAGTTGGTAGGCTTTCCTAATTCAAAAATAAAGCGAACATTTTTTTTCGGAATACTTCAGATTTTCGCTTAAAAGTCCTGTTTTGAAAAAATGACACGAAATATCTTTTAAGATTAAACTTTTAATTCAACAATAAGTT